AAAAGGGGGATCGGCAAGGCCTTGGCCCCCGGTTCTTTTGCTACACCTACTCTGCATGTGTGTGAGTAAGTGAGTGTAATGCCGATTACATCGGGAGGAGGACACTGGCGCGTGCATTTTCACCCGTTTATACGTGCAACATACGGAGAGCTATACCTGACCCCTTGGGCGCATCGGTATACTTGCATATGTAAGTGGCTCGTGAAAGGACGGAGAGCTACTGCTACATCGGTGATGACTGCCTTGATTTATTGAGGATTTTGGGCCTATTTTACTCGCTGGTTTTATAATTAGTTTTTTTTTTTTTTTTTTTTTTTTTTCAAGTAAAAAACTTAATTTTTCATGATCGATATTCATATTTTTCGTGACAATCATTGTAGCGAAATATTTTGTACCTCAAATGTTTTAATGTACTTTAATTTATTTTATACTAATGTTCATTTCGATGGTTCTATCAGTAACGTAAAAGGTCAGCAATCCTTTTATCGCACTCCGGTACGAGACTTTGTCTTTTATGGCGAGGTCTAATTGCCCTGGACTCTCGAGTGCAATTGAAACTGAGATAACGTAATCTATTCCGCATGAGGAAAGAGAGAGAGATTGATTGATTAATAGATAGATAACTTTTTTTTTTTTTTACTACAAAAACTGTAGGCATTCACGTTACCGAAATATTCGTAATTGAATTCCAAGTAGCTCGTCCGTCGATAAGTTTACTTGGTGACGTGAGGCTGTGAGTTTCTTCCGTGAAACGTGTATTCGGTAGGCGGTAATTCCTTCGACTCTCTGCCTTTCCCTCGTGCGCTGAATACGCGTCTCTCCGAACAGAGGCCGCTGCTCTGCGACTTTTCGCAGCATCCGACGATTGCGAGTAGGTACGGGGTTCTCTCGTTGGGACGATACGCACAATTGTGATTTTATATGTTGGAAAAGTTTATCTATGAATTTTTTTTAATAGTTCATAGGTGCTCGTCAAAAAAGATACGTACAAAACTACGAGCAAATCAAAGTTTTGAAAAGGATGCTGCAATTAACAATTTACTTACATTTTTGTCCGAAGGTAAAATTGAGTCATAACTCACGGTAATTCTCTTGATTATGTTCGAGTCTTATGTCACGGGGTTATAAATACGAGGATAATTTTATCTCGCAGAGATGATGTTACCAGACGATTGAGGCGATAAAAATCCTGAGACCAGATTCCGCGAGTGGTAATTTTCAGATTACTATGAGAGCCGATAAAATTTTTATATCAAACATAATTTACCTCCGAATGAGAATAACAAGTGATTTTTCCTTTGATTCGGAATTCACATATGGTTTTATTTGATCAAAGATCCAAAGATTCGTGAAAAAATAAATATTAAATAAAATGTATCGGTCAAGTAGAACATGGTTGAATTTGGTCAGACATGAGCAAAAAAAATATGTACACAGACATTTAATACAATAATTGGCGCGGGTTCAATCGTTCGTTTCACTTACGCTATAAATTTGAAAAGGCGACATTCCAACTGGAAGAATAATTTCCAAAAAGCAACCGTCCATAATCCGTCGAGTAAAATTTTTCTCTCTGACGCGCACTCTCGGATGAAAAAAAAAAAAAAAAAAAAAAAAAAAAAAAAAAAAAAAAAAAAAAA